CTCTGAAATGTTATGTGGGGACACGAGTTCAGGGACCCTCTAAGACAGGGGTGTCAAACTCAATTTCATCACGGGCCACATTAGCATTATGGTTGAACTCAGAGGGCCGGTTGTAACTTCAAGACTATATAAAGATACATATATAAATAATTAATATATATAAAATAATGTATTATATACATGATTGCCTCTGCATTGGATTATTATCAGATAGGGTAATAACTTCATAATTAACTACGTCTGAAAGAAGAAGTCTAGGGCAAATAATTGCAAGTCTCTTCAGTGAGAAGTAACATTTTGAAAAAAAAGTAACATTTTGAAAGAAAGTCAAATTCTGAGAAAAAAAGTCATATTTTGAGAAAAAAGTCATATTTGAGATGCATTGTGGGACATGTAGTTTATGGGCAACGTGCTTCTGTAAATCGGCATGTAACCGTATAAACAACATATTACACTGAACAAAAATATAAATGCAACACTTTTGTTTTTGCTCCCATTTTTCATGAGATGAACTCAAAGATCTAAAACATTTTCTATATACACAAAATAACCATTTCTCTCAAATATTGTTCACAAATCTGAAAAAATCTATGATAGTGAGCACTTCTCCTTTGCCGAGATAATCCATCCCACCTCACAGGTGTGGCATATCAAGATGCTGATTAGACAGCATGATTATTGCACAGGTGTGCCTTAGGCTGGCCACAATAAAAGGCCACTCTAAAATGTTCAGTTTTGCTTTATTGGGGGGGTCCGAAAACCAGTCAGTATCTGGTGTGACCACCATTTGCCTCACGCAGTGCAACACATCTCCTTCGCATAGAGTTGATCAGGTTGTTGATTGTGGCCTGTGGAATGTTGGTCCACTCCTCTTCAATGGCTGTGCCAAGTTGCTGGATATTGGCAGGAACTGGAACACGCTGTCGTATACGCCGATCCAGAGCATCCCAAACATGCTCAATGGGTGACATGTCCGGTGAGTATGCTGGCCATGCAAGAACTGGGATGTTTTCAGCCTCCAGGAATTGTGTACAGATCCTTGCAACATGGGGCCGTGCATTATCATGCTGCAACATGAGGTGATGGTCGTGGATGAATGGCACAACAATGGGCCTCAGGATCTCGTCACGGTATCTCTGTGCATTCACAATGCCATCAATAAAATGCACCTGTGTTCGTCGTCCATAACATACGCCTGCCCATACCATAACCCCACCACCACCATGGGCCACTCGATTCACAACATTGACATCAGAAAACCGCTCACCCACACGACGCCACATAGCCTAAGGCACACCTGTGCAATAATCATGCTGTCAAAGGAGAAGTGCTCACTATCACAGATTTTTTCAGATTTGTGAACAATATTTGAGAGAAATGGTTATTTTGTGTATATAGAAAATGTTTTAGATCTTTGAGTTCATCTCATGAAAAATGGGAGCAAAAGTGTTGCATTTATATTTTTGTTCAGTGTATATTCTTTCAGAGCTCTTGTGGGGCCACATAAAATGAAGTCACGATCCGGATTTGGCCCACCCGTCTTGAGTTTGACCCCTCTGCTCTAAGAGGACGCAGACATGCTCCTCAGTGTGAGTTATTGTAGCTAAATCAAACCAATCAGGGCACACGGAAAAGACACACTCCAGCGAACATTTCGAGAATTAAATTTGATACCAAACACAAAGCGTGGAAAACATTCCCAGCATCAGAAGGACAAATGTAATTACTTCAGATCGAGAAAAAAGAGCGACTCTGCACTTGTCCCAAAAGGCAAAATCCAGAGATATAGTCCTGTACGTTTTCAGCTTCAGTTCTTTTCCCCTTCGGTCACTGTGAATCCCTGCACAGCTTGTCAGCATTCTCGATATGTCCCCAGGTCTTTGCATGCAGCTTGTTCCCCAGGAATAATTCAAAAAGCTGGAAAATAAATGAGTTTGACTGTGCCCTATGGGCTCAGAACAGTCTCATAATACACACATGCACACAGAAGGATTCAAACTTGTATTTCCGGATCCATACTTGTGTTTTTCAATGCACACACAAATGTATTCCGTTTCATATGCATGTAAATAAAATACAGAACAAAGTTTTGCATATGTATTTTTGATCCTCACTTATTAGTTTCCCGTTTAAATCCCCTGCACCTGCAAACACAAACAGCTTTCTGTGCACGGATCGCTTTGCATTCGTGTGTGGGTTTTTTGAGACTCCCCTGACTGTCAGCCGATTCGTACTTGTAATTTTTTCTATCTATAGCCAATCAGATGTCTCCTTCATTCTAAGCCAATCACATGAGCGCGCCCCCACGAGGGTAAGATTACTTCATATACGCATTTTGCGCAGTCGGGTCAGCTCGCTAAACAGAGGGCGGAGCATCAGGTGATCATGCAGAGCAGCGTGTCTCCATCAGACTCAGCAGCTGATCAGATCTCTCTCTCGCGTCCGGTTATACTTCACTCGCGTTTATGTCCATATCGATCAGATCCAGCTCTCCTGATCGGCCTTTATAGAGAGCACCGATCAAACTATTAAGAGTGAATATCGGCCGATAATGACCGGCGGGGCTCCCCCCCGTTAACAGGTCACTGTCTAGCACTGGCTTCGTAGTGCACTGATCGATTAGGCTAAGCTAACCTGTAGCTGCTCCCTCCACACTCACAACAACTTCATACAGACATAAATAAAGCAGCTGTATTCGCCACACAGGAAACACACATTTAAAACGGTTTTGCCTGCCGTTTTTGTGTACACAAGCATTCATCAATGGTTTGGAAAGTGGCGCTGTACCTTAATAATATAAAGGCTTGTATTTGCGTGCATTTCCTGTTCGGAAAGTGGCAATGTAGCCTACTGAGAGTGGAGGTGTCCTGAGATTAGCGCCTGCAGGCAGGCTCCATGGAGCTGTCAGCTCCGGACTGTGCAAAATGCGTACATGAAGCGCTACGTCATGAACGCAAGAAATCATACCCTCGTGGGGGCGCGCTCATGTGATTGGCTTATAATTGAGGAGACATCTGATTGGCTATAGATAGAAATAATTACAAGTAAGAATCGGCTGAGCGTCAGGGGAGTCTCAAAAAACCCACACACGAATGCACAGCGATCCGTGCACAGAAAGCTGTTTGTGTTTGCAGGTTCAGGGGATTTAAACGGAAAACAAATATGTGAGGATCAAAAATACACATGTAAAACTTTTTTCTGTATTTGGATTTTATTTACATGTTTATTAAACGGAATACATTTGTGTGTGCATTGAAAAACACAAGTGTGGATCCGGAAATACAAGTGTGAATCCTTTTGCAGATCATGAAATACAAGTGTGAATCCTTTTGCAGATCATGAAATACAAGTGTGAATCCTTCTGTGCGCATGTGTGTATTATGAGACTGTTCTGAGCCCATAGTGCCCTGCTTCTTTTATCTGTTTCATGGTTTCGAAAAATCCACCAGGCAGGCGTCTGATACCTATGGCTCTATTCCCATATGTATCTTCTCAGTCAAATAGATAATAATCGTTTTTTTAAAAATTCATTTGTCAAACATAATTGCTTCTACTACCTCTGATATGACAGAAAACCATTAGTAGAGGAACAAATACCCAAAATACCCCTTCCCGAGGTACGTTTCTTATTACTTCAATATGTCTAGATTTTGACAAGGATGGTGGTATACAAATATTTCACTGCAAAATTACTTTTTTCTGGTGACGTTGGATCCTCCCAAATACATCGTTGTATATGAGAGATGCATAGTCATATTTTATTCTGTTTACATTAATATCCTTTCCCTTTTCCCTCAGCTGAGCTCAGAGGTTACTTTAATATGAATCTCCCTGTATACATGGTTCTCTGTCCTTATACTGAAAACACTAATATAGCACCAGATTCGTGTCTTAAAACAATCATTTTCAAACACAAAAGAGATCGCCAGGGGTGCCGTGGGAAATTGTCCAATTTCACTTAATCGGTGGGAAAAAACATTATTTAGTTGCTGCAAATGAAATCAAACAGTGCCATGTTCCCAAGCAGACTGAAATGTCATCTCCAAATGAAACAGCATCACTTCAAAACAAGAACACCGAGTATTTTTGTTCGCCTGCGTAAACAGACTGAGAAACGGGTAGAGATGGCAAAAGTACGCATCCTTTACTCAAGTAGAAGTACAGATACTCGTGTTTAAAAGTGGTAAAAGTAGAAGTACTGACTAAACTTCTTTACTCAAGTACAAGTAAAGTGGCTTCGAAATGTACTTCAGTAAAAAGTACCCATAACTAGCAGCTGTTTTAAAGAGTACCTGACCTCCCTTTATATTAATAGAACAATAATGTCATTGTTAGCTAATGAATGTTTCCATGCTGAACAACGGCAACATGACAACGTTTCCATTGGTCCCTCTTCTTTAGAGAAGACCAGGAAATGATGGATACACGGATCGTGTTCAAATCAATAGGCACTAATGACTCTAAAGAATAATGATCACGCCACCAAACACACATTCAGACTAAAGGAACCAGCTGTTTGGAAAATGAGAGAAGTAGAAAGTTCAGGTATTTGTGTTCAACATGTAAGAAGTCAAAGTCAAAAGTCGTCAAAAAATAAGTAGTGGAGCAAAGTACTGATACCAGAGAAATGTACGTAACGAAGTATTTGCACTCCACTACTTCCCACCTCTGGAAACGGGTAACTTTTATGAGAAAATCCACAAAGAGAAAGCTTTCAAAGTTAGTTATTTACGAACTGAATTTACGAGCCAAATTGCGAGACTTATGATAGAATGATCTTTATACGTACGCATATAAGCTGGATTAATCTACAATGTGTCCTTTAGTAACTTTATTGGTTGTTTGTTTGCTGCGGGATAATGTAAAACATGTACGTGGTTCAAAAACTGTTGAAAACACTGTCCTAACAGACTGTCTTTTTCTCTCTTTCTCTCCTCTCCTCTCTTGCGATCACCATCTGTCCCTCCATATTGTGTGCTGCTCCCCCCCCCCCCCACCAGGCTCTTCTTTCGGCCTCCTGCTCGGCGTCTTTCTGTTCTGCGGCCTGGCTCTTCTGGGCCTTCTTACATTCGTCTCCTGGAAGCTGTGCCGTGTGCCTCTGCAGACGAAGGCCCATCTCTCCAGCCCCTCCCTCACGCTGACCTGCGACCCCGAGATCTGCCCGCTTCAGCCGACCATCCTGCTGCCCAGCCCCCTGCAGTCACCGGTCACCATGGCGACAGAGAAGGTGAAGGACCCCATGGGCTCGATGGGTTTCCTGGAGGCGGCGGTGAAGATCAGCCACACGTCGCCCGACATCCCCGCCGAGGTGCAGCTCTCCATGAGGGAGCACTTCCTGCGCCGCACCACGCGCATGCAGAGGCAGGCCACCGAGCCCGCCTCCTCCACTCGGTCAGTCACAAACACGCATGTTCCGCACCTCATTTGACGGACTGTCCTTTATTTTATTTATTCAATATGCTCATTAGATAACTTTTAATTGTATTTGTTTTATTATTTTCTCCTTATAGCATTGTGAAGCACCTTGAGATGAGGTTGTTTTTAAAGTGTGCTATAAAAATGAAATGTATTATTGTTAGAAAAAAAATCACTCGTCACCGGCTTTATCTTCAATATCAGGATCCATGTATTTATTATCCTCTCAAGAATGGAAGTAGTCATTACATACAGAGCTGCGGGACAAATAGTTCCCAGAACAGTGTCCTTCACATGCCTTAAATACACGAGTATCACAGTCACAAGATGGAGGAATACCGGTTCAAAGCAGTATTCAATGTTTAGTTCAGATTAGCTCCACGTAAGCAATAAACATGACAGTCATATGCCTCTCTCCATAGAGGCTGAATCACCATGTTAATCACATAGCTTTCATATGCCTAAAACAGTCCTGATGCTCTTCAATACATCCTGTCATGTACACAGCTACGTAGGGCTTTTGTTATCATGTGTACTCTGATATTGGAAAAGTACATTCAGTATTTTCCCAACAATTATTATGTGTGTAAGACGATGTGCTTATTCATGTGTGGACATGCTTAGGGATACATACGAGAACGCATGCCTGCACGCACGGACAGCGTTTAAGAGATACAGTAGAATCGTGTGGCAAAAAAGATCCATTAACCTAACAAGAATAAAATGTAAATCTGAAAATTCAAAGTGACTTGGCACTACATCAGTTAATGAAGCGCTAATGAGGGAAGAAATGTCCATCCAAGCAATTTAGTTTCCACTATGTTATGTAGATTCAACAGTAACTTATTAGAGATAATGTAGATTGTGTTGCCTTTGAGGCATTTCTGAGAGTAGTAATGGAAAGTGTAAGTGATTACTTCTTCGTTAAAATTATTGCAATAAGAATGGAAAACATTTTGCTGAAGTACGAACAGCGGAACTCAAACATTTTTTATCATTTTATTAAGTGCACATCAGTCCTTTCTGCTTATACAACTACGCATTAAAAAAGCACATCTATTTTTAAATAGGCTTAAGCAGCAAACATGTCCTTTTAGGGTCCTGACAAAGCAAACCGTCGTTCACCCCCCCCCCCCCCCATGACCTCATTTGGTGCACTTTGGGCTGTCACTGGGCTTTTTAGGTTGTTGTTGTTGTTATTATTTTATACATTTACTGTAGGGCATCATTTTGAATTTACTTTGAGCTTTTTATATAACACAAACACAATTCAAGTATTTTGCATTCCAACCACAACACAGCAGACAATTCCACATTGAAGCAAGACAATGGAAAACTAAACAGGGTATTAATGCAAAGCAGACTGACTCTTAATCGGTATTGCAAGCATATAAGACTGAAAGTGGATTGAGAACAGCAGGCAATCTTCCTCGAATAATTGTTTTCATGCATTTGTAAAAACAATAAAAATGCAAGCGATTGTCCTTTAACTCAGGAAACAACTTACTGAGCTTATTGGGTTTTGAATCAATTGAAACTCAACCAGAAGTAAGGTGATATAAGGAGACACTATAGGTAGTTAGCTTGGTACATTTCAAAGCTTCCTCTCTTGAATTCAACCTCCCCTTTTTTATATTCCCTGCTCGTCTTCACTGCTCTTCAAAAACCATTGAAGACATTGTCATTCACTCTCTTTCCTTCTCTCCTGCAGGCACAATTCATTCAAAAGACACCTTCCCAGGCAGATGCAGGTAGGTAGTCTAGATCTGGGGTACGACTACACGCCGGACAATGACGATAGGCCCACAAGCATTGGTCGCATCCAGCCAGAACTCTACCAACAGAAGACCCTGGAGTCTGAGGATTCGTCCAAGAACGGCAGCAGCAAAAACTGTGGCAGGATTAACTTCTCTCTCAAGTACGACTACGAAAACGAGGCGCTCATAGTCAACATCATCAAGGCGTCAGACCTCCCTGCCAAGGACTTATGTGGGACGTCTGACCCTTATGTGAAGGTGTACCTGCTGCCCGACCGCAAGAAGTTCCAGACTCGCGTCCACCGGAAGATGCTCAACCCCATATTCAACGAGAGCTTCCAGTTTCCTGTGCCTTACGACGAGCTGGCGATCAGGAAGCTCCACATGAGCGTCTTTGACTTTGACCGCTTTTCACGGCACGATATGATCGGCGAGGTGGAGCTGGACAACTTGTTTGAGACATCAGACCTCTCCAGGGAAACGAACATATGGAGGGACATCCAATACGCCAGCACGGTAAGAATCTATTGGCTTTTTTTCTTATAGATTCCGTATCGAATGACTGACTCTATAGAGACATTTATATCGAACGCATCTCTCATTGACTGGTGATTCCACATATGAATTACAATCAATGTTAGTTATTTGTTTTAACCATGGGGTCAATAGCTTACTGGAAATGTACTGGAGGGACAGTAAAGCCTTTGGACTGGTGTTTTTGGCTGAATGTCGGCCTGTTGGACAAATGGATATATCTGGCATGTCAGAAGTGTTGGTCGTCCGTCTTACAGTTTGAGCAGTTCCTTGGCCTGATTTCCCACATGGCTGCTGTCAAAAGTTAATGATACTGTAGTGAGCTAGATTTATTATTAGTGGAGTAGCATCATGTTGTGGCAAAAGAAAAAGCAGACGGAGTGAAGTTGATGTGCTAATTCTGTGACTTTTAGACTAAATGGTTTGTTTATTTGTTGTCACACAATGACCAGTTCAAGCAGTGCTAGCGTGCGCCAGGTAGTTATATTTTCTTATTGAAGTTATCTATGTGGTACTTTGGTTACGGTTGAAGGTTTAAAGTACATTAAGTACAGCAGCACAATGCAAGATTTTGGTTTTAATTTGCTGACAAAAAAGAGATCTCAGATAGTGGTCTGTTTCTGGCACAAAGTTGTTTGGTTGTGTATAGAGACTGGTAATTGTTTCTGTAATTACGTTTAGGGTCTGTTCGCTTTCTAACATTAAGGAAATAAATGGCTGGCCTAGAGTGGATTGTTTTGTGGCTTACCTTGAGTTGGCATTAGTGGCTAACACAAGCAGTGTTCGTCAGTCGGCTTGACAGTTCTCAGCAAAGAGGAGCATGCTCTTAATCCAACAGCAGATCAACACAACTCCCAGAAGGCCTAAAGAACAAAGTGACAATCTTAGCCTAATGTCATTTGTTGAGCTGCTTCTTTAGTTTTTTGTCCAGCCGTTTCAGAGTAAAGCGAGAGAGATTTTTAACCACCACATCCTTAGATCTTCGTTCAACTACAACTAGCCTTTTGTACCTTGCGCACATTCATGAACAAATTTAGAGTTTTATTAAAATAGCGTCATCTTTTCACCACTTTTAGGCCAAAGATAACAGTATATAAAGCATTCAGGGTTCCTCCACCATCATTTTCTTCGCGTCAGTAAGCAGCATTTTATATATGCAATTGAAATATCAGGAAAATACAATAGTAAACTGATTAACATTTTTTAATTCAAAAAGGAAGATTTAGAGACCTTCCTCGTGTGTCTGATTAACATTTTCTTATGGGGGAAAGGGGTACGTTAGGGGATTAAAACGCTGCCCTATAATGTGAATCCAATTACTACATTTGAATTATCATTAAAAACATTATCAATAATCAGACACAGTTATTTTTTTCCTCATCGAAAAACGAAATTGTCACTCCTTAAAATACACATAATGACCGGCTGGAGACGCAAAGGTGTTCTCAAACATAAAAGCCTTTTTCTGACTCACAGCTCTCCAACACAATTATTCTCCTGCTGGCTTTGTTACTTGTTGACGATGTCCAGAGACTGTTTTCTGGAACAAATTGTTCTTCGTCCAGGCACCATGTTAGCACCTTGGAGCCCTAATCACTCCTCATCCCTTTCATCCCTGACTTTCCTCACCTCCAGTTGTTACATTTGAACTTCTTCAAGGGTTGCTCAATAATCTCCACGTTATTGCTCAGGAGGCAGAAAAGCAGAAGGCACACAAACTTTATTGAACCACCCGAACAATTTTACGACAACATTCCTTGCTCACATTAGATGTAAGATAGGCAACGATGGTGGGGTTCAGCAGAAACGAAAAACAAACAAGAAGTGGAGTGTAATGACTCGGGTAAGATAAAGACGCCGATTTATAAACACTGTTAACTCTTAATGAGTGGAAACCTATAGTGAGCAGAAGAACGAGGAGAGAAAGAAAAGAGCCAGCTGCCGCCCTCAGTTCATAGATCAAGGAGCGATAATCATCAATAACACCAACTCAGCTTCACTGAGATAAAGAATCTGGTGGAGTGTAGAAAAGCCCACTTATTGACTTCAGATCACTCATGTGTTCAAACTCTTTTGGAAAGGGGCATGAATGGAGGAGACAATTTATCAAGAGCAGGAAAACCAAGACACAATCATTCTTTGTAAAAAAAGTCCTCCATAGAGTATAATAAATAATGCAATGAATGAAATGTACAGTTAATGACTTACTAAGTGGATCTTTTTACTAGACGCTAAATGTTTTAATCAACAATATAACATGTTCCATCTTAGCTGCTAATATTTGCAAACTAGCGCTAAACACGGAGTCCAGTTTCAGAAGTTACAGAAGTTAATAAAAGATACTAGAAGTTATGAAAGATTATCCTGATGGGAACGATATCTGTACTAAATGTGACAATCCATATACTGCCTTTACATTTCTGTTAGACTCAAATTGAGCAATGTCTTAGTTTAGCGTTTTAGCATGCTAACATTGGCTAATTAGCACATAGCAAAAACTATAGCTAAAGCCGAAGTCCTTTTCGATCAATTCATAAATAAAAAAATGTTTCAAGTATATCTCCAAGTAATTCATAAAGTATATCTCCGTAGGGTATGATTGTGGCCATTTTGTATGTGGGTGCTAAAATGAGAATCTTGTATTTACACAGTATTTTATATTTTAACGTTAGCTTTTTGGCTCTTGCGAATGCATTTTAGCTTCCTTATTCCTAAAAGTGTTGTTTGTGATTTTTTTGCTGATCAAAACTTGCCAGTACGATAACATTTTAGTTTGCCACAGAACTTATTTTCTCCAATAATCCAAAATCAAATGAAATATTGCCTTTTTGTCGAGGGGAACGAGTGCACTGATAGCTGTCCAAAGAAAAAATGTCATCACTACATTTCACAGGACATGTGAGGTGCTAGAGTAATATTAAAGGGGTCAAAATCAGCTTGTTCATCCTGTACAAAATGTCATTTTATGATATATAATAATTACAGATATGGATGTTTCAATCTGGTCCAAAGTGTCTGACTGAGCGGACAGCCGATGGACAGACTGACTTCGTATGATTAATGCCGTGCAGATTACACTGACTGGCACCAAAACAGCCTGTGTTTCTACAAGGACAATCAAAGTGTCACTTCATGCTTTTACAACACTTGACATTTCTGCTGTGCTCACACATTATGGCTGAACCTTCCACCCTTCAAACTAAATCCCTCACTTCCACGGCAGAGAAAGTCAAATCGCGTGTGAAAGGACGTTAACACTGCGGCGCTCGGACAGACGTGTTGGAGGAGGCCAACAGTGGGTTTAAGTGATTATTAGATGTGATCTTAAAATGGTTTATAGAGAGAGAAAAGGGAATCTCAATTGCTCAGTAGGGACCTCAACAGGAGTGTAAAAGCTTATATTTAATTAGGTAGGTTGTACTTTTCCTCAAAATGGATTTAAAGTATAGGAAACCTTTGAGACCTTGGGAGTAGAATTGTCTTTTTCCAAGAGTCATTCACTAATTGATAAAGTCAGATATTTGGTTGTGGTGAAGAACTGAATTTGATTTCCTCCTGATTGATGATGATTAACCGGAAACATTATCAGAATATATGATTTGTTTTTTTACTCTAAAACTGCAATGGAAATAATTTAATTTGGCAAAAGACTTGATCTGGAGGTCGGCCATGACTTCCAAACTAACCTAAATTGTCTCAAGGAGATACTGACAGCCAAATAACTGCAAGGACTTGAAGTGGAGCCCAGTTTTTCCACTTAATTATTTCCACCTGTGGCACCTTCAACTGTTCTGGCATGACTCCTTCCAAAACTTAAGTGCAACAAAAGTCAAATAGTCTATGTTCTGTGTTGTCATTGAGGAAAAAAATCAGACACCAAAGGATAATAAATTCCTCAATTTCTCTGCCTGAAATGTGGATTTGGTGTCATTGAACCCCTTAATATCAATACAGACAGTCAAATGTTTAATACAGCATTAAAATCAGTGTTCTTTAATACGCAAAAAATACTGTTCACACTCACCCTGCAGCATCCGCTCAACACAAACGCCACACACTTTGAACAACAACCCACTTTTCTGCTAAAGTCTCCTTCTTACCTAATTTACTAACATGAAGACACGTCCACTATTGTTGAACGAGCGGCCAAACAAACATTCACCGGAGAAAAGTGCAGCGCTAACACCAGTGTGCAGGCTTGACAGCTAATTAGCCGCTCTGCTGCATCCCACACTAACCAGCATGTAAACACACCTGCAAATGTTAATCCAGTCCATTTAAATGCTGGTTCGGCCCTTACTCTTAAATACCACTAACGACATGCTGTCCCACCATGACACGTCCCCTGTGGTGTTAGATTGTCTCTCTGATAGCTGTGGTCAATCAAACGCTGGCACGCCCCATTACACTGAAAGAGAAAACTTTTCTGATATATTCCCTAAACTCCTTTTGTCTTTGAATAACATAACTACGGGTTTATTACCAGGTAGGTTGACACGTACGAGGAGTTTGACTTGGTGTCGTGGTACATACATAAAAGTAAAAAAAAAAATTGGAGACACAGATAGAGAACTATTTTAAGAACATAATAGGAAAATAAAAAATAAAATAAAGCAGTATTTACATTGAAATAGAAAGGAATAAAATATAAAATATGTGCAGTAAAAACACAAAACAGATATGACTAAGCTGACATTACTTTTGACTCCAAAAAGGATTAACAACATGTGATGTCAGCACCATTAAAAGTCACTGGTTATCAAATAAAATCTCGTCTGTTTTAATCTGTACTCAAACAGAAATTTAAAAGTGTGTTCCACCATCCGCTTTAATTAAACCTCCTCTGTTGAAATAAGAATAGCTGCACAAAGGAGGAATTGTTATCAGATAGTTATGAGACATGCCTTTTATTTTTTTACAAATATGGTTCTTCTTGTGAATGAACTGAGTGAACTTATTAGCTCATTACCCTCTGAGCTAATGACAGAAAGCTTGTTAGCTCAGAGAGTATTTCCCCTCTTCAATAAAACCCTTTAATAAGATCAAATGATGCAGAGTCCCCTGCTGCTGTGGCCTTTAGATGTGCTGGTGTATTGCACTTTAAACCGAACCAAGCCAGTCATATCACACCATGCTTTTACTCTTATGCTAAGCTAAACGAAGCTCGACATTTCCATAGGTAAAGAAACAATTAATGCAATTTTTAGAGTATATCAAAGCTTCCACATTGTTCCCAGCAAGGTTAACAGTGCAAGTGAAAAGAGGGAAAGCCAACTCTAGATTCAATTCTTTTTAGTAATCAGCTTTACCTGCTCGGCTTATTGCCTCACTATATTTGTGTTTTCATAAAGGCTGACACCACAAAATGTCCCCAAAAAAGCAAAATGATAAAAGTAAAAATACAGGTAGAGGGAAGGAGTCTCTGCAGATGTCAACACACCACACATTTCTAGTGGCTCATGGATTGACAATTTAAAGGGATACTTTTTTTTAGCTTATAAGCTGTTTTTCATCATCATTGTCTTTTCAATGTCATTTGTTAGGCGCTTTTATCCAAAGCAACTTACATACATTCAGTACTGTGGACAATCCCCACATGCTGACTGCAGAGGGACTCGAACTTGCTATCCCCTGATTTGAAGTCCAGTACACTCACCACTGAGCCACAACCTCCTCTTACTAATTGTGCCTTTTTAAAAATAGGCCCTATTGTGTTTTGGGGGGTTTCCCTTTCCTGTAGTGTGTTATATACAGTAGGTTTGTGTGCATGTAAATGGCCTTTAAAGGGTACAATCTCAAAGTTTCTCTCCCACACACTTACCCCTGCCCGAAATGCCTCCATTGGACTCCTTTGTTTACTTCCATAACATAGTGACATCAATATGTAACACTCGGCTTCTATTGGCTGGCATTCAAACACATTGTACGGAAATTAGGGCAGTTGACCAATCACAACAGAGCTGGTCAGATAACCAATCAGCAGACTGGGCTCTGGTTCCAGACAGAGAATTAGCATAATAGGACCCCTTTAAACAACGTTTTTCACCCGACATGTCAAACTATTCCTTTAAAAAGTTATTTGTATTGTCCTGTGTTACAAAGTGACAACAAACAACATGTTCCCTCAGCTGCATTGTGCTCTACAACACATGTTATCCATTTATCTTTCAACACCACTCACAATACACCTGCAGCAGCCCTCCTGAGGCTGAGCTGCAGAAACCAAACAACAGAATCACAATGCGGCTCTTTTTCAAGCCAAAAATGCAAAATAGCAAAGTTGAATTAGTTTGCATCAGATTACCCTTTGTATACACTTCTGGGTGGCCTGGCCTTCGCCCTAATTAGCTGGTTTACTCTCTCAACTGTGAGGAACATTTTACATTTGGTTTGCTCTGGCAGCAAGAGGCCATCATAAAGCTGAATGTTTTTGCAATTTAATGATAGAGGAATAACAGGAGAACATTTATATTTAGTTATTTTTGTGTTAGCCTTCCCTGACTGAAAAACTAAAAGCAGACTATAAACAAATATAGTATTGATCCTTTCGTAAAGTAAATAAGTTCTACATTAATCATTTTGAGGGACCTGTACTTTACTTTAGAATTTTTGTATTTGTATTCTTGAGTTTTTATATTTGTTGTCACTCTATTAAGATCATAAATCCCAAATATAAGCTAGTAAATGATGATACACACTATGGCCCTTCAAACTAGCAAGTGGTGTGTACAGTAATTAAAATAAGCTCCACTTTCTCCAGCTGCAACATTAAAGTGATTAACACATTAATGCAACACTAATTATAATCCAGTCATATAATATGTACGATTTTAAAATGGGTGTTTGCATACCGACTAGTTTTACTTTTGGTGCTTAAAGTTAAAGTTATGTTACTTCTAATATCTGACCATTTTTACTTAAGTAGACTTTTTGAATGCAGGTATTTCTACAAGGTCGTATTACTACTTTCACTAAAGATCTGAGAGCTCTTTCAATCACTGGTATTCACTTTCTGCTTCACTGACCTTTGACTATATCAGACACAGTGAAGTGTATACATCCCAGAAGCAGACCTTGAGGGAAAGAGACACCTGTTCATGACTCTGGTTTAAAGTGTTGAATATAAATGTGGAACTAAAAGAGATTTTGCTTGTGTGCACTTTTCTCCACAGGAAAGTGTTGACCTTGGGGAGGTCATGTTCTCCCTCTGCTACCTTCCCACTGCCGGCAGACTCACCCTCACTGTCATCAAGTGCAGGAACCTGAAGGCCATGGACATCACCGGATACTCAGGTGTGTGTGTGTATGTGTGTGTGTGTGTGTGTGTGTGTGTGTGTGTGTGTGTGTGTGTGTGTGTGTGTGTGTGTGTGTGTGTGTGTGCACGTGTGTGTTCTTTCTCTGTAGCGGCTCCCACACTGTGGAATGATCTCCCCCTGCATATCAGACAGGCCTCCACACTGTCTGTCTTTAAATCGCTTCTTAAAACCCACCTCTCCTCCTTAGCGTATATTAACATATTTTAGATTGTTGCTTTTAAATTGTCTATTGTTTTTACTTGTACTTGTTTTATGGTGTGTGTGAGCTGTGCTGTGGGATTTGTTGAATGTTGTTGTTTGTTATTTGACTGTACAGCACTTGTGTCTGGAGGTTTTAAAGTGCTAAAGCTGTATTGTGTGTGTGTGTGTGTGTGTGTGTGTGTGTGTGTGTGTGTGTGTGTGTGTGTGTGTGTGTGTGTGTGTGTGTGTGTGTGTGTGTGTGTGTGTGTGTGTGTGTGTGTGTGTGTGTGTGTGTGTGTGTGTGTGTGTGTGTGTGTGTGTGTGTGTGTGTGTGTGTGTGTGTGTGTGTGTGTGTGTGTGTGTAGAGGATCTCTATAATCTCACGCGCTGCCTTCACACCTGCCTGTCTTTGAATATCCAATTGCAAACATGTCATGTTAAGTAAACAGCGGGGAGTTGCCTCTCCGGCTGCGTTCTGTTCGTTCAGCACTTATTAATATTCAACAACTGCAAAATTAAGACATTGTCAGCAAATAGTTGCAGGAAATCAGTTAATTGTGTAAGACCGCTTTTCTCTATTCCACTTTTCCCTCCATTACTGACATCACTTCTAATATGTGCTGTTTTACATCAAATGCCAGGGTAAAAAAAGTATTTTCCATTGTTGTCTTTTTTCTGAACTACAATTATCCAAAATCCATGGAAAATTAGATTTGGCTTTTAAACGATGGAGCTAATATTGCTCACTTCAGGTGTGGAATCAAAACCGATGCATCCCTGCCCTCTATTTTAGGACATCGGAGTCGTCTCTGCAGCTGCTTCCTGTTTATTTCAGTAGTTATATATTTTCAACACTTGCGAAAAACACATAGTCAGCAAAAAGAAGCTGGCGGTCTCTTTATTGTAGTAGACAATAGCTCCTCCATTCTTATTTCCCCTTTGATTCTGATAAATATGTGACATTTACTTGACAATAAATGCCAGGGTTCAGGTGAATTTGCCCTTTTTTTCCTTCAATTGTCTTCAATAATCCAATATCAAATGGCAAATTGAATTAGGTTTTATCGAGGGAACCACTGCAATGCTAACTTCTGGTTTAGCAAAAAGGTCATGGCTGCAGCGCTGCTTTTGACTTGTTAGGCACTAGAACATGTCATATTAAGTGAACAGCAGATATTAATATTCAACACTTGTGATATCAACATATTGTCAGCAAATAGTTACGGGCATGCTAGATTGTTTCTCTATTCCACTTTTTACCTCCAATACTGATTAACATTGCAATAAGTGACATTTACTTTGCATGAAATGCCAGGGTTCAGGGGATGTGCCCTTTTTTCCTGCAATGTTCTTTGCAATAACAACAAATTGGTTTGTCTTTTTGTCGAGGTTTGGCCTACAGAAATATGCCATCGCTGCAGAAATCTATTTCACTGGTCATGTGATGTGCCAGAAGATGTTCAGTGAACAAACAATGGAGAGTTGTCTCTGCAGCTGCCTTCTGTTTGTTTCAGCAGATATTCATATTCAACATTGTGATATTAAGACATTGTCAGCAAATAGTCGCAGGCGGTGTGTTTTTTTTTACTTTCCGGTTCCACTTTTCCATCTATTTGTTGAATTGGACAATTATTTTGCATTAAATGCCCAGGTTTAGGTGAATGCATTATTTCCTCCCTATGATGACGTTTTAATGCGAGTCCCCTTTTAATTCCTCAGAGTTGTAAGGGGTGTAGCTGCCTGCCATTGTTTCAATATGTGCATCGTAAAACAATAGCTATCAAAATGTGCCTTTGAGCACATTACTCTGCAAAGCCAGCGCTCTTGTTTGTTGTTTATAGATTGAGGGCAGCTTACATCTGACTGAAACACGGCTGAAGATTGAACACAGCATTCATCAGGAAGCTTTCTCAGTCATGCTGTTTAAGCTATCTATGTCCTATCATCCTCTGTGGTTACACAAGCTGTTGACTCATGCACTTTCATGCACATTTCCGACAGCCAGGTCCTCCAGGGTTGCTTTTAAAAAACAAACAAACACTCTGGGCGAGGAAATGTGATTTTGATCCGATTTCCTTTTAAAAGAGGCCCTATTATGCTGTTTGGGTTTTCTCTCTTCTGTAGCGTGTTATATGGGGTTTAGTGCATGTAAATGGTCTGAAAAGGCTCAAATCTCTGTGTTGCCTGCAGGGGGAATTTCTTTTTGAACATTAAAGCATGAAGACATGTCACAGTAGAGGCACACAATACCTGAAAATGGGCATTATAGTGCCCTTTTAATACAGAGAGCCATGGTGAGGTGTCTTTTTATTATTATGGCCCACGACAGCCTGCCCCCAGATGCAAGTGTAACATAAATCTGTAAAGATCCATTAAAAGGTCCTTTCAAACAAACACAAAGCTTTGACACACTGAATAGCTACTCGGGAGATTTCTTAAATGTTTTCCCTATTAATTGGGAAGTGTTTAAGGGATTTCCCTTGTTCACGGAAAGGGTCGAAGGACAGAGGGAGTTGTATGCTGAGACAAATGTGTTATTTGTGATATTGGGCTGTACAAATACAATATCATTGATTGATAAAACCTGAGGGGAGAAGAAAGCGTTCACTAAAGACTGTTCATTTAGCTTTCAATTGAACTGTATTTATTCTTGTTTTATTCAGTCGTGTGTTCTGTCGGTATTTAGTGTTTTAATGAATCACAACGTTATGGGTGGCTTTGTTTTAATAACTGGGAGTCGGGTCAGTATTGTTTTCATTTGAGCTTTTGAATGGGTTTGTGAAGCCCTTTGTGTTAGCTTGTGTATGAAAAGTTGTTGTATAAATAAAGTTTGATTAACCCATACTCCAAACTCCAATAAGCCTGACTTTCATTCTAATTATTGCAGTTTAAAAAAACAATTGAAAATGATATGTATCTTTTAGCAGTTCCTGTTTAGATGAAGTCACTTATGTTCTGTCCTCCTTCCTCTCTTTCACACGTTGCCTTTAGATCCTTACGTCAAAGTGTCGCTCGTATGTGACGGGAGGCGTTTGAAAAAGAAGAAGACGAGCATAAAGAAGAACACTCTGAATCCCACCTACAACGAGGCCATCATCTTTGACATCCCGCCGGACAGCATGGACCACGTCAGCCTACACATCTCCGTCATGGACTACGACTTGTACGTACCACAAACAACAACTCATCTCCTCAGGACAATAAATAACAAGTTAAAGAATGAACCCCCCTCCATGTTTCACCTGCAGAAAAGTCTTCTCTGTGCTCACCTTGAATCTGATTTTTAAGACGTGTACATAACAGATGATTGTTGGTGCATCAAAACTAGTTTAGAGCCAGGTCATGGACCAATGTGCAACTTACACAGGTGTGACATTTGAAATCTACAGTGCACACACACTGGGAATGGACTTTTCTGAAAGAAGTTGCTTTTTTACAACCACAAAGAAACACATTTTATTTATTTGGGGATTTTTCAACAATAGATTTTTTTTGGGGTGTTTTGTTAAAAGCTTTTTTCATTTTTATTATTTTCCTATTATTATCATTATCATTATTACTTTTATTATTATTATTAGTAGTAGTAGTAGTAGTAGTAGTAGTAGTAGTAGTAGTAGTAGTAGTAGTAGTAGTAGTAGTAGTAGTAGTAGTAGTAGTAGTAGTAGTAGTAGTATAATTATCATTATCATTATTATTTGTATTATTATTAGTAGTAGTCGTAGTAGTAGTAGTAGTATAATTATCATTATCATTATTATTTGTATTATTAGTAGTAGTAGTAGTAGTAGTAGTATATTTATCATTATCATTATTACTTTTATTATTATTATTAGTAGTAGTAGTAGTAGTAGTAGTAGTAGTAGTAGTAGTATATTTATCATTATCATTATTACTTTTATTATTATTAGTAGTAGTAGTAGTAGTAGTAGTAGTATAATTATCATTATCATTATTATTTGTATTATTATTATTAGTAGTAGTAGTAGTAGTAGTAGTAGTAGTAGTAGTAGTAGTAGTAGTAGTAGTAGTATATGTATCATTATCATTATTACTTTTATTATTATTAGTAGTAGTAGTATATGTATCATTATCATTATTACTTTTAGTAGTAGTAGTAGTAGTAGTAGTAGTAGTAGTAGTGGTAGTAGTGGTAGTAGTAGTAGTAGTAGTAGTAGTAGTAGTAGTAGTAGTAGTAGTAGTAGTAGTAGTAGTAGTAGTAGTAGTAGTAGTAGTATATGTATCATTATCATTATTACTTTTATTATTATTAGTAGTAGTAGTATATGTATCATTATCATTATTACTTTTATTAGTAGTAGTAGTAGTAGTAGTAGTAGTAGTAGTAGTGGTAGTAGTGGTAGTAGTAGTAGTAGTAGTAGTAGTAGTAGTAGTGGTAGTAGTGGTAGTAGTAGTAGTAGTAGTAGTAGTAGTAGTAGTAGTAGTAGTAGTAGTATATTTATCATTATTATGTCTGAAGGGGATCTATAATAATGTTTTTAAATGATTATTAATTTCTTTCAATATATATATTGGATTCAGTCAAATTCCAGGTATTTAGAGGAATAGTGTACAACGCTACCTTTACGGTATGTGAAGCTATAACAGGAAATGGGTGGAGGGGTTGCAGGGCAGACAGCTGACAGAATGAGAACATGCATGTTAAAGGTCAGGATGTTGTTGTTTTTTCTCCTGTGTGTAGTATAAACAGAAGCAGCGATATTTAGTAACCTATGCCTCTTGTGTTTTCTCTCATGTCTGATCTGTAGGATTACATCCAGTTGTGCTAATAATAGTGGGGAGATCTTCAAAGAGCAAATATTTTCATGATGAAATAATGAAATTCTAGTTGCACAGATACAATCTGCTGCATATGTTTTACTGGATCAATCACCAGGACATCCATATGCAGACTTGAGTCTCATTTCATTTCAAATGCCCTTCTTGCAATAATAAAAAAAAACATGTTGATGTATGATATGTCTGGTCACATTAAGTCTGATGTGTTCATGCAGTCATATGTGTGTGTGTGTGTGTGCCCCACAGGGTAGGTCATAATGAGATCATTGGTGTGATGAGGCTTGGATGCCATGCTGAGGGTCTTGGAAGGGACCACTGGAACGAGATGCTGGCGTATCCACGGAAGCCCATTGCACACTGGCACCCCCTGCTGGAGTCCAAGAAGTCTGAGAAAGAGGTCGGTCTGGGCTCTGTTTCTTAAAGGAGTGATCTGTATGTTGTCATTATATTAAACATGTCTTGTTATTTGACATCTAATGTGTCTAGAGACAGGTAGCGCAAACTAACATCCACTGTCAATCCTATGGGGCTTTCATCGGATAGCAGAGGTGGGAGAAGTACTCAGATCTTAAAGGAAGAAGTACAAGAGTGTAGGAGTACTCTGTTACAAGTATAAGTCCTTCATTCAAAAGGTTACTCAAGCTAGTTATAATGACTTTGTATACTGCAGGGTAGCTTGTGAATTTACTCCAGGTGGAACTAAAGTCTGATTTAAGTGTTGATTATTTTTCACATTATTAATCCAAATCTGCAAAGTAACTCAAGGTATTAAATAGATGTAATGGAGTAAAAGTACAAAGTAGCATAACATGGAAAAACTCAAGTAAAGTGCAAGTATCTCAAAATTGTAATTTAGTACAGTACTTGAGTAAATGTACTTAGTTACTTCCCACCTCTATTGGATAGCTGTTTCAAAGTTGTCTATTTATATATAACCACATTTGTTGAACTAGTAGTCACATTGAGATAAAAACTACTTCAACATGTGAGACCTATAGCCATGATAGACCATCAAATGATCAGATCAAGACAGCAACAGTAGAGGTAGAGCCTGTATATATAAACTGCATCTGTCCTTCAAATACACCATTCATAAATACATATAAAAACCCTTTAATTCCCATTAATAGCCATTTCAAACATGGCCAAATAGACTTTCACTACCTTTTAATTCAGCTCATTTATTTCCAAAATTGTTGTGATTTAATGTTGGTTTTTCATGTTGTATGTTTTATATGTTTGTGAGCCCCTAGCCTAACCAAGAAAAATAGCCTGCGTCACTTTAAATATTGAATTATTTAGGATAAGAAATCGGTGGATGTTTTCATAAAACTTTGAGGGACTTTTGAGCAGATGGAGAAACAAGAAGCAACACAAATATACTGCATGTGTTTAAAGGGGACCTATCATGCAAAATGCACTTCTTGATGTTTTTTATACATAAACAGAGGCGGACTGGGACTAAAAATCAGCCCGGGAAACTCAGAAAATAAAACCCTTTCTCTTTTCCTCCGTACCTAAATCTTTTATGGACCAGGCGTCAATTAGACGCCTGCAGCTAGTGCAGAACGCAGCTGCACGTCTACTCACTGGCCACAAAAAGCGTCACCACAGCACCCCAATTCTGGCCTCACAACACTGGCTTGCAATTCGGTTCCGGATTGATTTTAAACTCCTTTTATTTGTTTTTAAAGCCCTAAATGGGCTGGCTCCTGCCTATGTAGCAGAACTCCTCCAGCGCTACACCCCAGCCAGAGCATTAAGGTCGGCTGACCAGCTGCGGCTGATAGTGCCCAAGACCAGGCTCAAACCCAGAGGGCACCGAGCATTCGCAGCAGCTGGCCCTAGGCTCTGGAACACTTTGCCCCTCCATGTGAGGTCGGCCCAGACCCTGGTTTTTTTTAAATCAACACTAAAAACTCACTTCTTCCCCCGGGCCTTCTAGTCAGAGCGGAGAACGACTCATGACATTTCCCTGTGTTTGATTTTTATATTTGCTGTTGTCATTTATTGTCTTCTGTTTGCGATTGTAGTAATGTGTTATTTATTTATCGTTTTTAAAATGTGCTATATAAATAAAACCTGATTTAATTTGATTTTAAAAACGGGGGTACAACGAGCGGATACAGATTTGCTGCCGATCTGACATCAAATCAAGCCCCCAGGAAGTGCGCCGGAGTCTGATGAGAATATTCGTGCTGGTCAAACGGCGGTACTACACTTCCTTTAGGTTGCTGGGCCCGGAAACACTTTTTCCCATTGACTTACATGGGGAAAGAGTGGTCTGTAACTCGTTGGATAATTTTTTTTAAACTAAATAAACTACCCAGTATGAACGTTTGTATAGCCCTTATTAAAAACATTCGTTCCTCAAGTTGTAAAAATGTGCTAATAACGTTATTCTGAGAGTTATTTCTCTCGGCATTATGAACGCGCATCTAACCCACGGGACCGCGCCGCCCGGCACGTTCAAGTTACCTGTTCAGTACTACATGAGTTTCTCTTTACCCATGGATGCACAATAACAACGGACCATATCGCCTTACTGCCAGCCCACGGAGCTGTAATAATGGATATATTGCACATGTTTGCTGTAATTCATCATTTGTAAAATATTATACTACATGGGCTGTATGATGTAAATCTTGTACCGTAAATCTTGTATTAAATAAAGTTAATATTACCGACGTAGATTAACGTTCCTGTAGCTTCTTATTGCACTTGCAATTGTTTTAGTTACTTGTGGGCTACTTAACATGAATAATCACAGCTACTATCATTACTACTATTATCAAAAAGAAATAGGCTATTGTTATTTTAACTCCACCACAGTAATCCATCATCAGCTTTACTTTTTAGAAAAAGTTTTAACTCACAATTGATCATAACAGGCTTCAACATATACATTTTTATATATTACCAAGTGGTTTCATGTACAACCCACACAAGTATCATACTAAATGAAGCTCTGTTGCTTGGATATCACTAGATCCTGATGTCAGCGTAATATAAAAGTACATAACGATTGATGTGTAACTTAGCATAATTTACTAGCTAGCTGCTAACTGCCGCCTCGTTAATATAAATCCAGTACCATGCTGTCATGAACGCGCGGTGCTGTTACGTGTACGCAAATTCACGTGCTTAATGTGAACGAGCCTTTTGGGCGGCGTGGTTAAAGTTGTGCATGCTCTATGAGTGCACATACGGGTACTTCTCAGGCATGCCGGGTAATCTGTGACGTTTCGCTCTCTCAAAAGTTTGACCATTTTGTCATCATGCGCCATTGAGCAACTCTCATAGGAATTAATGAGGCCCCGCCTCCCACGCTGTATCCAGTTCTTTTTATACATCCATGCATCAAATCGGCGGCAGACCCACAGAAAGTTTCGATCAGAAACAATGCCTGACGTGTTGTGGACGTAATCTCGTTTTTGTTTACATTAGCAAGCCTCGCTAACACTCAGAGCTAACCTGTACTGTAGAGCACAGTGTTCAAAAAGCAGGAAATAAAAAAAGTAACTCACCTTGTGGTAAACCCGCAAGAGAAAAAGCATTTGAGCTCCATACTGTTTCAGAAATAATCCTTGATGTGGTTTAGAACAGGATGGCGTTTTATCACAGCAGAATTGTACTTTATCTCCGGTAGAATTCTGATCAGGCATTAGCTCCGCCTCCTCTTTTTTATTTTTTTTTAAGCTAAGGACCCAACATCTGCGTTTCTCTATCAGGGCTGCAAAAGAGGAGTATGAGCAGTAGGCATGGCTACAATGGGTGATCTGTTTGGTATTTTAAGCAAAAAACTTCACAGACATGTTTGGTATAGGTTTGGCCCTACAATATATTTTTCCAATATAGCATGATAGGTCCACTTTAAGATGACAGGTGCATGCAGGTGGTAAATTAGCAGCAATGGCTGATGAACAGCAACGAGGCAATTTGCGTCAAAACCTAGACTTTCTCCACCTCATAACTCAGTCAAGCCTAAACACACAGACATAACGCCCCTTTTATTAAAGTGATAATGACTTGCCCTTTCTGAATATGTCAATATATCTGATGTCCTTGGCGAGTAAACGTCCATTAATCTGCGTTGAAATTATAGGGAAAAGACGCTCACCATGAATGCAGAAGCTGCCTTAAAATCATCGCGTTTTTAAGTTTTCTTCAGTATTAAAGTAGTCCAGTGATAGTTGTCTGTATATGAATGAGCTCACTGAGAACAGTAACTCATAAGTTATTCGGCATACTTTAGATGGTACCAATTTACCACAATGTTAAGAAATACCTATGCCAGAAGAAAACGTGGTCCAACCATAGCTCACTGATTTAGGCTATGTTCCTGTAACCCATCCCTCAAAGCATTATGGGAATTTAATTCAGTTTTAAAAAACAGTGTTTTCCAAAAAATACAAGTTAAGCAGGAAAATAAGTGACAAAATACATCAATATTTACTTACTTCGTAGGCTTCTTTTATTTTATTTTATAACTACAGTATGGCTCAGCATTATCAATCAACATTGTTCTTATATTTTATTGTATTGTTTTTTTGTAAGTATTTGTGTATATGTACTTTAAAAACATGTTATTTGGAGTATTTTACCATGCCATCTATTTTATTTCTGTACATATTTGTTATTTATGTTATGAAGCTGTATATAGGCAACAAGGGACGGGGTATAAATAACCGATCTGGCTATATTCCCTATATTTTGTATTATTCCTTTTGTCTTAAAGTTTTTAAAGACAGAGATGTTGATATTGTGTCTGTGGTGAGATCATATTAAATATTGAGTCTAAGTTAATTGATTAACTGCTTTCAGTCTCTTTTTGTGTTATTATTATTTTCTACCTCCCCTACTAAATTGGTCAATCTAATTGAAACCCTTCTTCTATACTCCTGGAACAATGCCACCTTTATACAGATTGTATCCTGTGCTGAGAGTGACCTGAGAGTGACAGTGTGTGTTATGAATCACTTCCTTGTGTCTGTGTGTCCTGCAGTGGAAGGCGAGGACAGCCAGCTTCGACAGCCAAGGCTCCTGCCCCTCCCCCCGGCCCCCTGCTAGCCCCTGAGCAGAGCCACCTGTGACCCAGAAGGGGGTTTCCTCCCTCCTGCTGATCCACTTCCTGTCTGTCTGATGGAGGAGAAACACAACCCCACTGTCTCTCCCTCTCTCTCCCTGTCTCACTGTCCCTCCCTCCCTCAAGTATAGAACGCTCCCGATAACTGATATCGGGTCAGATAGTTGTGTGAAGCGCAGTCTTTAAGGGGTTTGAAATTGTGGGTGTTGTGATGAGTTCCCCCTCAATGGCTGGACATCCGGTCTGCAGACCTTTCATATCTGAGCTGAGGTGAACAAATCTCAGTGTCCTCACACGGAGACTCTCCAGGCGCTGAAGATTCAGTTATGTGGTGCAGAGACTCTTGGATAGAGAAGCCAGAGATCGGATATTGCTCCACGAGAGCAGTTTCAGGACACGGTAGAAAAAGAGACTTTAAACCGGATATGAAGCAATTTCCGAAGCCATTCGTCTCTCATTGAATTCACAGTGCTGCATAGCATATAGATGACTGTAGCATTTTTGGCACTATTAGATGTAAAAACCATTAAGCTCCATTCATCGTTATGGTTTGTGAATAGCAAAACTGACAGTAATTTCAAAGCCCCTGCTGAGTTCTTCCAGTTTCGATAATGACATAAGCAATTTCCTGATCCGTAGTTCGTTAGGGAGAGATGGGACCAGGCTGCAACTAAAATATTCTCAATTTGCTAATTTAGTGTGTTTTCATTAGCAGAAAATACGAGAAGTTGTATGTAACAAAATAATAATTGGATTTTATTTTCCTCACACAACAGCACATTGGCACACAAATTGGCTGCAGTGTTATATAACTGATTTATATTCTGATTATCATAGTTTTTCTAAGCAGAAAGCAGGTTTAAATAACCTGACGAAGGTACAAATAACTACATTCAGACACTAAATACCAAAAAATACAATACAAATGTTACCAAAAACTGGATTTTTTTCAACTGACGCTATTAACAAAAATCGCCTGTTGAGTTCTTCCTTTTCAATAATGACATCATTTCCTGATCCGCAGTCGTTTAGGGAAGATGGGATCAGGCTGCACCAAAAATATTCTAAATGTGCACATTTTGTGTGTTTTCAGTAGTCAAGAAGATGTATCTAAAAAATAAGAAATGACTGGATGTTTTTTTCCTTATACAAGCCAAATTGGTTGCAGTGGTATAACCCATTTCAATTCTGAAACAACACATTTTAGAAACAAAAAGCAGGTTTAAATGACCTGACAAAGGCACAAGCTTAATTAACACACTAAAAACCAACACAATTAAATAATAATGTTACCTGAAACACAGATTGTGGTCGATGGAGGTTTCTGTAAACAGGAAGTGAGCACACTTTACACTCCCTTACCTTCCTCTCTGTTCGATGTTTGCTTTTGAGCGATCTCACCTTCTTCTTCTTCCAGATGAAAACTCAACCGCTCATGTTTTCCTTCAGACACTCACTGTTCAAAAGCACTTCTTCGTCTCCTCCTGTTCTTTTTCTCTGAACAGGTTTTGGTGATTGTGTATATTTTCATGTACAGCCGTCCGCCGTTTCCTGTATGTATGTTTTGTTATTCTAAGCAGCAAAACCAGAGAAGATATAAATATACGTAAAGCGTATTTAAAAGTAACATTTGAATATATGTAGCTTTGTTGGTTGTGATGATTGAGAAAGCATAAACAATTGTGAACATATTCGTCTTTTGAACTTAGAAACATGCAACTTTCTTGATGTCATTAATCATACTGTTGTTCAAGGAGAACGTGTTTGAATTCGACATCCAGATGCTTGATCTGCAGCATGTGATTATTATTTTTGAAGATATTTGATCTGATTTAGGAAAGATTACTGCAGCACCGCTGTCATATCAGGTGGCTTTGCACCAGTTCATTCCTTTAATAAATCCCTAGATATTATGTTGTCTCTTGAATATGTACGGTGGCTGACAGGCAACCATCTTACAACGGCCCAAAACACTTCAATAAGGAAAAACGTGCTGCATTTTCAAAAGCGATGCAAATAAAAAAACACATAAGTGCCAAAACACATGCAAATGAAGAAACATCTTCACCAACTTGACAACATTAAGAAAGCATTCACCAACTTAACGAAACATGCACATTAACGAAGCGCTGCAACTAACAAAATGCTGCAAGAAGCTCAATACAAAACAGAAACAGAGACACTAAAAAGTGACGCTCATACAGCTGGGACCGGAGCACTTTTTGACATTTGGCGATTATGAAGTTAGCCAACTGTGAATGTATGTTTTATCAGCACATTTTAACAATGTGATCGGATGAGCCCTTCCGATATTATTGCAGATCTGCAACTAAGATAAGATAAAATAGACTTGTATTAATCCCATGGGGAAATTGTTTCTCTGCATTTGACCCATCCTAGTGTTAGGAGCAGTGTGCTGCCATTTTGAACGGCGCCCGGGGAGCAGTGTAGGGAACGGTGCCTTGCTAAGGGACACCTCGGTAGCACTTGGTCTTGCCGGGACTTTAACTGGTGACCTTCCAGTTGCCAAGCCAAGTCCCTATCGACTTCGCCACCACCGCCCCTAGCTAGCTAATGTAGCTAATCTAGTAATTTCAAATTATATTATGACAAAACACCTGAGATTATGAAACAGACTAACTCTACCATCAGTGACAGTTGACCAACTTTATAATCCCCGAACGTCAACAACAAGCTCTGGTCCCAGCTGTGTGTGTCACTTTTTAGTGTCCCCGTTTCCTTATTATGTTTAGCTTCTTGCGTGTTTTTGGCCATTAGGCGCGTTCACACCGGAGTACTTTTCCCACTTTAGTTCCGATATAGTTCCGAAATGTCGCGTTCACACCAAAAAGAGCCGGAACTAAAATGAGTTAATGAGAACCTTTTTTACCCCCTTTTCCGTCCCTGCTAGAGAGCAGGGACTTTCGTGGGAGAAAAAGGTTCCTATGTCTGATTGGCTGGGCGGATTGCAAACCACGCCCCGTAAAACTCCCAAAAAGTTTTGTGAAGCCGCCATTTTATTATCCTCGCATTAGCATTATTAGCATTAGCCCAGTGCAGAAACGCAGAGAGACTAATTTATGGCAACACAAAATAAAACATGGGAGCGGTGGAGATGAGGATGTGTCGGCATTCTGGCGATTTACTCGGAAGTCCCCAACTCCGGGGACTTCCAGCCGGGGACTTCGGGTGGCAGTATACGCCGTGAAGTGATTTGCGGCCTGCCAGTAAACCCAACGCAGAAGAAGTAGTGACGTCAGCGACTTTATTTGCCTAATCCTCCCCCAGGGACTTATTCCGGTGTGAACGCGATCTGTACTTAGTTCATGAGAACTAAAGAGTTCTCATGAACTAAGTTCTGATGAACCTTTGTGGGAAAAGTACTGCGGTGTGAATGCGCCTATTGTAACGTGTTTGCCCTTGTCAGCCACCATACTTTACAATAACTAGTTTGAGTCAGATTGTAGTATTGTAACGGAAATACATCTGTTGCTTTAAATTAAAAATATTACATTATGGATAGATTTATATCCTCATAACACAATCATTGGGTATATTTTAGTCCTCCAATTTACCTCCTTTTGTTCTGTATTGCTGTTATTGGTAAGCACAGATAGCATCAATACAATCAGGGTGAGAAGCGTTAAGCCACGGAGTCGGTGTGATAGCTATTACATTTTGTACGGTCTGTACAGAACATGTCTTTCCGAATAGGTGCCTATACTGACTAGCATCCGTATTATCTCATAAGCAGCAGACAGGACCTTAAATCTGAAACGTAACAGGGTTCCTGGCTGTGGCTGAGACCGAGTCTGGTGTCTCATTTAGCAAACTGACGACAAGTGAGACTATTGCTCCTGTACATTGAACACGCTATATATCACAGAGTTTGCTAAACTCGGGGGGCCAGACATGAAGACACGAGCAGATGCACCCAGCAGACGATCTGGTTTAGCCATTTCCTTCATGGGTACCCGGAGAGAGCCGTTTTGTAGCTCGCTGTGTGTGTGTTTGTGTGTGTGTGTTTGAGTGAGGAAAGCGCGGGGGCAGCTGATTGGCGGACAGGTCAGCGTCTACAGAGCAGTGGCATTTCTCTAATTGGCACTTGTTACAGCGAGAATGAGTCGGTTCATTATTGTCCATGCTTGACGTGATCCATCATAGCATCGACACCCCTCCACTAATGTGACAGTTTGCTCTCAAGTCGTTTTAAAGGTGAAATTCCCCCTCTAATGGCATTATTCATAGATTTCTAATATCTTATTTCAGTGTTGAAACAAGTGGTTGAATAATCCTTTTTTTGTTTTAAAAACATGTGCTTTATGATGGTCATATATTTCTCTGAAAATGTGGTGTGTTTTTCATAGTAGAAACCTGTTAAATCAATTGCTTCAGTTTCAAGACCCTCTAGCTTTGCCTCATATTGTAATGTTTCTTGATATGATCTTGTAATCCCATCCAACTATTATGATAGAACTGAATTTCCAATTTTTTATTGAACATTTTGTATTTGTAATAATAGAAATGTTTGAGAAAATGTTCTAGTGATCGACATGAAGAGTTGTTAGTTGAGACAAAAGTCTAAAATGAGCATTTTGATTACAATCAAGACTCTTAATTAATATGAGTGACCAAGGGTGTAATGAAGTAAAAATGAAATAGAAGACAGTCTTTCAGCCACAAATTGTCCTTATTTTGTTTCAATAAGTATGGAAATCAACAGCAGAAAAAGAGTGTTTTGTCATTTTTCTTCCATGGGGTGTGATGTGTTATCAGTTCTGTGATATTACTTTCTTTTCTTTGATTAAAATACTTATGCAAAAACAGGCTGCGTGCTGTGAATTGTGTGGAAATAAGACACGGCACGAATCGACAACATAGCCAGTGGCTTAACAAGCAGGAATGTGTTCAAATGAAATGAGATTTGGTCAAATTAATTGAGGGGAGGACACAAAACATCACAGAGTAGAAAGACTTGCCATCCTCTAATAAACTGAATGGCATTTCCATGTTTATTTGAGACGAGAAGAAAGACTCAAATTAATAAATAATAGTTCAAAGGCTAGCTTGAAATTGTGTGACGTTAAGGGTGTAATAAATCCACCGTGAATGAAGAGTCTGCCGGCTATACTGAAAGACTTTCCATATAGCGTGTTTCAATTTACTGCTGCTTCTCTTTACCATAGCCTTTGAGAACACGACACCCCTCCCCGCTGTCACACCAGGAGCTTCCTCTTCATGGTCAGTCTGTAAATGATTTGGTAGCCGTCGTCCCAGCCGTAGAGCTGCTTCTCCTCTGGGTTGTATTTCAGACTGGCGTGGGCTCCGTATCTCCTGGGGAAGTATATAAGGGGAGCCTCCTCGCTGACCACCATGTCGTTGACGTCAAACAGGCACTGGATTCTCGACCGGCTCGCCAGACGAGTGTTGTAAACGACGTAGACGGTCCCACAGACGACAAACGCCGCCTCTGCGTTCTCCCGTGGGCACCGGGTGTCCCAGATCTGTTCTATATCGAGCGTGATGGGGTCCATCTTCGCGAGGTTGATGTTAGGTTCACTGTCACTCATGGCGTACAGAAGCCAGAGGCCTTCATCGTCTGCTGCGAGGTCCGCTACGATCTCAGGGTTGAGGCTGTAAACACTGGCTTGGCTCTCGACGGGGAACATGGCGATATCTGTCACCGAGCCGCTCATCAGGTCATATTTGACCACCTGAACGTCCATATCCTCCTCCTGCTCTACGTAGTACAGATATCCGTTATATACAGCGGTGCCAGGGCTGGTCCAATCAGAGGGAAGATGTATCTGTCGGCTGCCGATGGCGTCAGGAGAGCGGGAGAAATCTCGAACAGAGTCGAACTGATGGATCGTGTCTCCCGATGTCCCGTTGAAGACGTAGACCTTGGACGACCTTGGGTCTCTGGTCCACATGCCCTTGGGACTGCCCACTCTCTTTAGGATCTTCACTGATCTGATGCCAGAGATGATCTCCACACAGTCTGCCGTGGGAGGAAACACAAAGAGAGGGGTCATGTTTCTGTACTGTTGTTCGCCTGCCAAGCTTTCCTTGTTAAACAATATCCCTTAATGATACTTTACAATAGTTAACTCAATAGTCAGAAAAAAGACAGAAAGCCCATTTGTCCAAAAGTCCATTATGTGGAAAACAAATGGCCATTAAACTGAAGGATCGTTGTCAAAAAACACACTCTTTCTGCAATCATTTGTGTCCCACTCTAATCTGCATTTTGATTGGCTTACCCTGATATTCTTACCTTCACCATAACCAATCTAACTCCTTATCCTTAAACCTAACCAATGCAATCAACAGGTACTAACCAAAAAAGCAAAGTAGGGCGTGTTAAACCTACGCCGTAGTCGAAATGTAGCCTTGATTCTGAATAATAGTCAGCCATGTATGCTCTTTGTTTGTTTGTATGAGAGAGAGGGTATTTTCAGAGCATTTTTTTTGAAATAACAGGCTTTTGGAGAAATAGGTGATATAGGACATAATTCCCACTGTTGGGCCGTGCATTATACACTTGACTCTCCTTGATTAATAACAATCCCATGTGGTATGGTTTGAGAAATTATGTTTCATCTGTCCTTTTGGCATCAATGTGCTGCAATACCCATGAGCCTTCCCTGCCAAGGGCAATTTATAATGTTTTTTGTTGCTGTAGAACATTCATTCATAGGAACAAACAAACAGTAGCTAAATTCATCTAAAATTCCCAAAAGCCCAACATTGCAACAGCTAAAAACCAATATGGCACCAACACGATGGTGAGAGTCGACAAACCAATCGGGGACGCCACAGTGACTATGTCAACTTCTTAAATACAGTCTTTAATAATAGATGTTGTTTATACATTCATGAATATTTTATATTATAGAAACATTACAGGCTTTAAAGCTTCTTAAGAGGAAATAACTTTAGACAGCACCAGATGCTGCTCCTCAGATTACACGTCTATCTACAATGAAAACTACACAACCCTAATTAAAAATGTTTCACAGGTGTGACATTAACGTGATTATAATAATTTAATTTTTGTATTTCCCAGCTGGCACAATTAGTTCCATTACAGGGTCTATGCAGGAATCCTGAAGTCAAATGTAATCCCTTTTAAGACCTTTTTTAAGACCCTTCCCATACATTTTAAGACCTCATCGCCACTTTGAGTTCTAACCGGTTACCTTGGCGACACACTTTACCTCACGTTGACTATACACAGTATTGATTGTCCTTCCTCCTTATCTTCCAACCATTTGGACGCACACTTGCATTTCCCCATAACGATGTTGTTTAGCAACCGGCGTAAACGGACCTTCGCGCTATCAAGCAGTGAGCGTGCGATGTCCTGTTCAGATGACGTCAAACCCAACGGGATGTCATAAATAAACTACACAGAATCACACTACACACCTACGCAATGATTACATTCAGGCAGACTGTAGAATACAACCTCTTTGGACCATTCATATACTTATTGAAAACAAGCTACAAAATGTAATACCTTGGAAAATGCTGTTTAATACTTTTTAATAGCCTTCATTTTCGCTAAATTGATTTATCAACTTTTAATACGGACACCCTGTATTATCAGTTTTCAGCCAAGTGCCACATCTCCGCTGAAATGTGTATTTGTGCAACGTAACATTTAGAAAACATCAAACCGCCTGCAGCAGTCAATATCCGGCTCTCCAAAATGAAGACAAATCCGAAGCAGTCAGGGGGAAATTGGACAAATAATGAGAGGAAACATGAGTGAAGCACACATGACGATACTCTCTGTAAGAGGAAGATTAATACAAACACACGGATAAAGGATGCCCCCCATTATGTGTCCTGGAGCTAAACTAGCATTGTGCTCACAAATCTAAAATGGGTTCCTACAATGCGTTGAGGTTCATTTTGGGTCACTTGACAAACATTTACAATGGCTCACTGTGTGCAGAGCGAACATGAGCTCGGAGAGTCGAGCAGCTGACCTCGGGGCAGCTTCCTGTCTGCGGAGATTTTGCACAGAGAAACTCATACAGCAGCCTTTTCTCCGCATCATCTACTTTGTATTTAAACATCTGGATAAGAGAAAGCTCCTTTAATACGTAGGGCATGATCGGCATTATAATTGAGGGCAGAGCATGTTAATAATAAATAATTCTTGAATTTATGTGTAATCGATTGTCTTATAGGCAGCGTGACTAATAAATAAATCAATATTTGTTCTCATTTGAGTGTTTTAATGGCACCAAAGACATCTTATGAACCTTCCTCAGGGATTTAGCTTTTGGATCCATTTGAAAAATATGGATCTTTTGCTTAATGTGCCCATTCAGTGTAATCTTCAGATATAAAGTCTGATGTGTTTCATCGATTTAAAAGTGGGGTTTCACAATTTCACAAAAGGGGTTTTAAGTCCCTGTATTATTCTGAGTAAATGAGTCATTGCAGCAGTTATATCTCAGCACTGTTCATGGCAGCACGCCTCGGGATCAGGAGAGTATGAAGACGAATGCTGTGCCGAAACAGCGCAAGGCAGGGGAGTAGCTCTGCAGAAATAAATGAGTTGCATCAAGCCATATGTCTGCTGGAAAACATGACTCCAAGCCCTCCGTTTAATGACTTGTAACAGCACTGTGTTTGTTTCTCGTTTTCCAGAGGCTTTTCCAAGACACTTTCTATGCACAAGGGGTGGTTTTGATCATGGTGTGATGTGAAATGCTAAAATTAAGCATAGAACAAACAACCTGTGTATATTCCTTAAGGTTCTAACTGTGCCGGGGCTCCGTCATGAATGAAAATGAAACATCAAACGCAGCCGCCCAGCAGAGAACGCTTGTCTGAAGTGAGCATGTACTTCCCTGCAGCTCACCAGAGACTCTGGACTGCAGCTCCTCCCAGTCTTCCCCCTCTTCCTCTTCCTCCCCTCTGCTCTCCTGCAGCCCCCAGGCTTCCTGCTCCACCACCTTGTCTGCTTTATTCGCACAGGCCCGAGGGGAAGTCTGGGTTTCTACGAAGTCCATCTCTCGTTCCACCCGGTCTACTCGGGCTCCAGCTCCTGTCAGATCCTCCAAAATGGTGCCGTGATCGTTCCTCAGCCCATCCATGGCTTCAGCGGTTAGCTTTTTAAAATCCAGCAGCTCTGTGTGGTAACGGCGGGATTGGTCATGCCATAACTGCATATGATCCTATTCAGACATAGGCAGAAGAAACAAGCGTTAGAATAAATGTAGGTTTTTATTTGGTTCTTTTTATAACCCAACAAAACAAAAAGCTTACGGGATGCTAACGGCCCGTCCACACAGCGGCCTGCGTTGAAAGCTTCACCATTCACTTTGAATGGGGTGACGTCACTTTTCGCCGAACTGCATTGTGGGAAGCGACGCGGAGCTTTGCTGGCGTGGCTCGCTGCAAAAGTTGAGCAATGTTCAACTTTTGACGCCTCGGCAGAAGCGTCAGCCAATCGAATCATATGCCAGTACAAGCTCCAGCCAATCAAACCGCTGCTTGTGTGTCAGGGGCGGGAGATTCATGTGATTGGTTGTTGGTCGAGTTTCAGACAAACTAACAGCCCGTCTACACTACAGGCATCAAAAAATCTTGAAGCTGGGCGTGTCTGAAGCTTGGCGATTTCTCGCGCCCAAGGCGACCAACAACCAATCAGGAATCTCCCGCCCGCCCCCGGCATACAAAGCAATAGCAATGTTAAAACGAAGTAAACTGGATATAAAATCCCCAAACAGGCGAAAACCTACCAGTTTCACCCACTGTCTCTGCCACCTCCCTCCATGCCTCGCTCTTCCGGTTTGTATCCCGGTAGATGAACAGAGACTGATCATACAGCACCGGGTGATTCACTACCGCTATAATGAATTTTCCCTCCATTTTTTTTAATATCAGGAAATGACCTGCGTAGTCTCTCCCAGCATACACGCGGTTTGATTGGTACCGTCAGATTTGCATACGTGGGATTTGATTGGCTGATGCCAAGCATCGAGCCTCAAAAGTTGAACATTGTTCAACTTTTGATGCCGATAGATGCTCGTGATGCTTGCAAAGCCATGCCATGCTCCCCACAATGCAGTTCGGCTAAGTTTAAAAAATGTCTACGTCACCCCATTCAAATGAATGGGCGAAGCGTTGAAAGCATTTTTCGATGCCTGTAGTGTGGACGGGCCGTAACTGTGAGGTTGTTCAGTAGTGCTTTGATCTCAATGCTAATGTCAGCATGCTAACATAGTCACAATAACAATGCTAACATGGTGAGGTTAAACAGGTTTTGGTACCATGTTCACTATCTTCGATTAGCGTGCTAGCATGCTAACATTTGCAATTTAACGCTTAACACAAAGTACAGCTGAAGTTGGTGAAAGGTTTTGCAAGTATTTGGTTATTATTCAAAGGATGAAACAAAATAGGGCGAACAATTTAAACATCATAATGTAAACATCAATATGTAAAGTCCGGGAAACATTTAAGTTATTTCAAGTCCTCATGAGTCCATTCTTAAGTGTGAGTACATTTCGTTAAGTCTTTATCGAGATAATTCAGTAAACATCATGGTGGTGCTACAGGAAAAGTTAGAGGAACATGTAGTTTAGCTAAGGCAGCCCATGTACCAAAGCTAGTGGATATATCCCTTAAAGGTCCTTATTATACTGTTTTTCATCAATATATTACAGGTCTCAGATATATACAGAACATGTCTCTGAAGTGTTTGGCTCCAAACACCAAACAGATTATTGCAGCATTACCCATAATCCCCTCTGTTTCAGCCCTGTTTCCATAGTGCTGATTCTCCGTCTGTTACTTTAGATGAAAATAAGGAGCCCCTCCCCACGCCCCTCTGAGAGAGATTTGGTTACAACGAACTCAATGGTGCTCTAGGAGGAGATTCAGGTGATAAGGGGGGGGGGTTACCTTGGTTGGTGATTGGCTAATGGTTACTCAAGCCAAAACATCGTTATGACATCATAAAGTGGCCAAAATCTGATCAGCTCATTTTCAGACAGGTTTTTATAGAAATGGATCAAGACAAAAAGAGAGAATCTTTGTTCCTGAAACTTTCAGAGTCTCTTTCCACAGAGGGGACACATGTTGATGTAGAAGAGACATGAAGAAGAGGGGACACATGTTGATGTAGAAGAGACATGAAGAAGAGGGGACACATGTTGATGTAGAAGAGACATGAAGAAGAGGGGACACATGTTGATGTAGAAGAGACATGAAGAAGAGGGGACACATGTTGATGTAGAAGAGACATGAAGAAGAGGGGACACATGTTGATGTAGAAGAGACATGAAGAAGAGGGGACACATGTTGATGTAGAAGAGACATGAAGAAGAGGGGACACGTGTTGATGTAGAAGAGACATGAAGAACAGGGAACACATGTTGATGTAGAAGAGACATGAAGAAGAGGGGACACGTGTTGATGTAGAAGAGACATGAAGAAGAGGGGACACATGTTGATGTAGAAGAGACATGAAGAAGAGGGGACACGTGTTGATGTAGAAGAGACATGAAGAAGAGGGGACACATGTTGATATAGAAGAGACATGAAGAAGAGGGGACACATGTTGATGCAGAAGAGACATGAAGAAGAGGGGACACATGTTGATGTAGAAGAGACATGAAGAAGAGGGGACACATGTTGATGTCGAAGAGACATGAAGAAGAGGGGACACATGTTGATGTAGAAGAGACATAAAAATGTGTATTTTGCATAATAGGTGACCTTTAAGAGTTGGGGGGGACCAAATTAAAGCTAAAAGTGGACACCAGGTGGACAATAAAAGCACTACATTAGCATTTAGCTCATAGCTAAGCCTAAAAGAGCTGCTAGTGTGAATACAGACCCGCATTTCAAAATACTAATTTAAAATGCTTTTAAAAACGTTTTATACTGCACCTGCATTTACAAGGTTAATAATGTTGTTCATAATTCAAAATGTGACTAGATGCAGGAGGACATTCTAATATGTGTTACACTCTGTATTCCTCATACTATGTGTTGGGATATACTACTTATTTTTCTACAGTAACATACTTAACACTATAGTAAGGGTATTGGAACACACAGTCTTTCTGCACACCAGAACGTATCTTGGGAATTACAATGTTCCCATTTCAATCAAAGCAATCTTACATCACCAACACGAATACAGTTTCTCGGTGCAGTGATTGACACGGTCAGAGTGACAGGCGTATCATTCAGAGCGAGATACAATAACTGACGGCTTCTCCACCGCCACAGTTTCATGTTCTGCCTTGCTTACTGTGAGCCTGAGGTCAAATGGAAATGGGAACTCAATAAAAAATAGCTTGATGAATTGCTGTGTTCATATCCATGCAGAAGTTGAAGCAGCATATTGGAATTGAGACTGGAGGAAAGCCACAGGAGGGCGAAGACAGCAGTAGTTAGCTGTAAATACACTTCATTTCACGCAGATTACAGATTCAACTTTGTCATTTTCTTTGGAGCCACACAGAGGATGAAAATAAGACTCAGACTCTAAAAATATACTCAGAGAGAATACATTAAAACAATTATTTAAATGAGAAATAAACTCAAGTTACTCACAGAGGAAAGCACAAATGTAATACTCTTGCATTTTATTTCACAAGCCAACAACAATCTTCCCTTTGCAAACATTGCAGTCTCACAACCTGCCTTTGAAACACAATTCTAGTCATTTGATTCCTTCCCAGCGGCACTTCCTTCGACCTCTGCAGAACACTTCCTTTCTATTAGGATAGTGGGATGTTGCCCAGCATGGCAGCAAAACCTGAGTGTGTACTCATTACTGATGTGTCATTGTGTTAAGATGCTGAAGAAATTGTAACGTTGTTGGACAGAAACTGCATGTTGCATCCACCGATACTGCTTCAGCGGCCCCTGCAGAGTCAATGAACTGTGCAGGGATTGCATTAATTGGGTTTCAAGACATTCAATTTACATAAAAGTGAGAAAGCAAAACGATCCACTTGTATTTCTATTTGATACCTATGGCATTGCATCGGCCTTTCAATAATGTTTTATTGTTAGAGTTTATAGATTTTTTTATCTTCACGTTCAACTTGTATATTTTCAATTTTTCAATGTTGTTTTATTCTATTTTGAGATGTTTACAGTCAACATTATGTCACTTGTTAGACGGTTTTATCCAAACATACTCAATACTGTGGACAATCCCCACAGGAGCAATTAGGGGTGAACGACATGCTGACTGCAGTGGGGTTTGAACCTGAGACTCCCTGATCCCAAGACACTAGTCCACTGCGCCTCACTAGTTAAGAATTGTTTATTTGTACTCTTTTAATTTATTCTTTTGTACAATGGCAACGCAAACATTTCCTAATTTGGGATCAATAAAGTACATCGCATCTTAACACTATTTAACATCTCTGCACATAGCTCATATTTTCATACTTAATATCTCTGACTCCCATAGTCAATATTTTGTTGAATATTCTCATTTTTAAAACACATATACTTGTTTTTGATTGTTTTAATTAGGTTTTTTCAATTTTATTTTGTGCATTTAGCATTTCCCTCATCTTCTTTCTGACAATGTGGAATACCAAGGGGGAAATCTATGTGTGTGAAAACCTACTTGGCAGTCAAGACGATTCGGTCAACTGATGGAAAACAACAGAACATTGATCAATTATCATTTCAATCGGAATTGCTTCTTACCTCAATAGCCAACAACCTGTTATCCAGGTAATCCATCAGGCCCTGGTAGTAATACTGAGCTCCGGTTAAAGTCCAGAAAGTGGAAACAAGGAGGAGAAACACCGGCTTCATTGTGAACCGATCAATGGGGACGGATTACTTTCTTTGTCCTTCAAGATTTGAGATGCTTCTTCAAGTTTTCCTCCTCCCAGATTCAGAGATGTACACAACCTACAACCTCTTTGTACACAGAGCAACTACTGTACATGTGCAAAGAGGTGAGGAGGATACAGAGAAAGTGAGAGGCCGCTCTGAGACTTTCCAATTCTTTGACCGCTCTCACTTTGCTGGAATGTTTTCACTAACTCTCAGGGAGGAGCCTTGTGCCTCTAACCACTCTGTCCAGGGAAAGTGAATGTGCTGCACACAACTCAGTGTTTGTTGCACATGTTGTACACACTGTCTCAGACATGTGAGACGGGATTAAAGTGCAGACAGAAGACAATTAGAAATCTCTGTTGAGTTTATATTGCATTTAGTTAATAACGGCAGTCAACTGGGAAATGGGTAGAACGGAGCAACAGAGCAGATACTGTAAGGAAATTAATCCGCCGCCTGTTTTATAAACTGTATTAAAGACACAATGATGTCACCCATTGGTTTGTGGGGTAACGCTTTGAAGCCTGTACTTTGGCATTTCAGCCAACGCCATCTTCGTTCTTTGGAACCAGAAGGCACATGAAAGGATTACACCAAATGATTAACAAAAAATCTTTAGGAGACCAACTTATCACTACTTTCATGAGCTGAAAACACTTTGTAAATAGTTTTAAATATGAAAAATAAGGAAAGCATCCACACAGAACAATACGTCGAGAAACTCACAAAGCCACTCACTGTTGTTTATCGTCTATTTGTACTCGATGATTTTCAAAGTGAACATCAAGCTGTGTTGAAAAAGACTTGAAACTAAGGATTAACACCACAAACTCATCACGGGAATGTTTTCTGAGGGAATGACTTAAGTTGGAAAATGTATAATGTTCTCATAGTCTTCAACACAATCAGAGTTATCAGTGCAACCAGTGTCACCACCTGCTGGCCATTTGAAAGAATGCCAGTTTAAGCCACTTCCCCAATGGCGTAAAGGTCACCTATTATGCAAAATCCACTTCTTCATGTCTCTTCTTCATCAACATGTGTCCTCTCTGTGGAAAGAGATTCTGAAAGTTTCAGAAACAAAGATTCTCACTTTTTGTCCTGATCCATTTCTATAAAAACCTGTCTGAAAATGAGCTGATCAGCTTTTGGCCACTTTATGATGTCATAACGGTGTTTTGGCTTGAGTAACCATTAGCCAATCACCAACCAAGGTAACCCCCCCACCTTATCACCTGAATCTCCTCCTAGAGCACCATTGTGTTCTTTTTAACCAAATCTCTCTCAGAGGGGCGTGGGGAGGGGCTCCTTATTTTCATCTAAAGTAACAGACAGAGAATCAGCACTTTGGAAACAGGGCTGAAACAGAGGGGATTATGGGTAATGCTGCAATGATCTGTTTGGTGTTTGGAGCCAAACACTTCAGAGACATGTTCTGTATATATCTGAGACCTATAATATATTGATGAAAAACAGTATAATAGGGGACCTTTAAATGTTCAGACTTGGAGGGAAAAAGATATTTAACGCAGACAATCGAGCAGGCAGGAACAGATCAAGGTTTTACCGACGGTTTGACTTATTTGTAATAAGTAGTAATGAGTCCATCGCACATATGGGGAGTCGTGAAGTTATGACACGCAAGTCCAACTCCAGGGAACAGTTTGCAGATATTGTAGCAACATTTAAACTTTGACGATCTGGCTGTGAATGGACAAAAATAGGGCATGTGTGTTTGTATACAGTAGTTGTGTATAATGTGCTTTCACCCCATCTCCCTCTCTCTGGTGAGCCTTTTCCGGTGGCTCTGTGTAATTGGCTGCAGGGATCCTCACTAATCGAAAGTCTCTCATTTTCTTCCAGAGCTGCCTGCCCTTTGTTTGGAAGTAAAAAGTCAACAGTCAGAGTTCTTTGTCACTAAAAAGGTCAATACAACACACACACAAAACAAAGATCATCATGATGATAACAGAACAAAACCACAGGGAGTAATAAAAGGCGAAATAAGTCCAGAAGTCTTTCAACAAAAGTCGTTTTGCAGGTGATAACATCAAGATATGAAATACAACTTTACCAAACTGCAGGTAAAACATTTGCAGGCTTCACTCTCGGTTGATCTGCTTTACTGGTTTCCAACATACAGCCCCTCTCTCACAGTGACAGCTAGAATTAGTCAATAACGCTTTGTTACAGCCTGGAAGGAGATTGGTTTCTGCGATGTGAGCAAACAGGGTGTACTGTAGATTATCCTCGCTGCGAGAGCGTTTGATTACACAGGCATCATCACACTGACTGACAATGCCTGACCTCTCACACCGGGGCGGTTTAGAGACATCTGAGTAACTCCATTCATTTATCCTAGTTAGTCTACTCATCTCTCCTAGTCAGTCTACTCATTTCTGTTACGATTGGGTGAAGCAGGTAGGACTCAAATCCAGAATTTAACGAAAAGCAAGCTTTATTAAATAATAAAAGCTGTGGCAAAAAAAGGCAGTATCCAAAATATCCAAAAACGAGCAGCACAAGGAACACAGACCGTGGAATAACACATAACTAGGGCCAAGAAAGGGTTGGTGGAGGGGGTCTCGGCGGACGGCCCGGGGGCAAGGCAGAGACCAAGGAGGGGGTCTCGGCGGACGGCCCGGGGGCAAGGCAGAGACCAAGGAGGGGATCTCGGGCGGACGGCCCGGGGGCAAGGCACAGACCAACGAGGGTGTCTCTGCCCGCTGTGGCGAAGGTTGGCAGGACCCCCGGCAGAAGAGTAGTCTGCGGGACCTCCAACGGCACAGGACACAGGGTTAGCAGGATCCCCAGCCGAAGAGTAGTCGGCGGGGCCTCCAACGGCACAGGACACAGGGTTGGCAGGACCCCAGGCAGAAGAGTAGTCGGCGGGACCCCCAACGGGACAGGACATGGAGTTGGCAGAACCCCCGGCAGGAGAGCAGTCGGCGGGACCCCCAACGGGACAGGACATGGAGTTGGCAGGACCCCCGGCAGGAGAGCAGTCGGCGGGATCCCCAACGGGACAGGACACGGAGTTGGCAGGACCCCCGGCAGAAGAGTAGTCTGCGGGACCTCCAACGGCACAGGACACAGCGTTGGCAGGACCCCCGGCAGAAGAGTAGTCGGCGGGGCCTCCAACGGCACAGGACACAGGGTTGGCAGGACCCCCGGCAGAAGAGTAGTCGGCGGGACCCCCAACGGGACAGGACATGGAGTTGGCAGACCTCCCGGCAGGAGAGCAGTCGGCGGGACCCCCAACGGGGACAGGACATGGAGTTGGCAGAACCCCCCGAGCCGAAACTGGAGTCGGGACCATGGCTACTGGGGCCGGTACTGAAGCCGGAACCATGGCTACTGGGGCCGGAACCATGGCTACTGGGGCCAGGACAGGGGCTGGAACCATGGCTGTGTGGGCCGGTTCTGTAGCCGGAACCATGGCTGCTGGGCACGGAACCGGAACACGGAACCATGGCTGTGTGGGATGGCACTGGAGCATGGAACCATGGCTGCTGGGGCCGGAACCATGGCTGCTGGGGCCGGAACCATGGCTGCTGGGGCCGGAACCATGGCCGCTGGGACCGGCACTGGAGCCGGAGCCGCTGGAGTACGGGCTGGAATCCTGGCCTTGCATCTTCCAGAGACCTTTTGGAGGCTCCGTGGACCTCCAAACGCCAGACGGGTTCCTGAGAAAAGGTCTGAGGCTGGAACTGGAGCCGCTGGAACCGGAACAGAGGCCTGGACCATGGCTGTGTGAGCCAGGTAATCGAGCAAGGAAACATAGCTCTGCGGGCCGGTACTGGTGCATGGATCCATGGCTGTGGAAACCGGAACTGAAGCCGGGATCATGGCTGTTGGAAAACGGGCTGGAATCCTGGCCCTGCGTCTCCTAGAGGCTTTTTGGAGACTCCGTGGACCTCCAACAGGACAGTAGTCAGATCCCAGGAAAGGGTTAGAAGCTTGTGACAAGTCTTCAGGGCTACTTGTAAACGTTTGTAGCCACTCAGGCAACAAGCTCCTGAGCCAGGGCTTGCGAGCAACCTCCCGGCGTGCCTCCTTCAAAGCAGCCTCTTTACCCCGTCTAGATGAGGCGTTCTTCCAGGTGTAAAAAATGTACTCCAGAGAGTACCCAAGACATTCCGCCTGTGGGGCCAAAACATTCAAATCTGCTGAGTCCAAATTTGGTCGGTTCATTCTGTTACGATTGGGTGAAGCAGGTAGGACTCAAATGCAGAATTTAACGAAAAGCGAGCTTTATTAAATAATAAAAGCTGTGGCAAAAAAAGGCAGTATCCAAAATATCCAAAAACGAGCAGCACAAGGAACACAGACCGTGGAATAACATGGAGGGGAAACAATTAACCGACATGGAACACAGGGGAAGACTAGACTAAATACACAGAAGGGTAATCACAGGACAAGACACAGCTGGGCAGGGGAGGGAGAAACACAAGGGCAACAGGTGAACACAATGAGACAATCAGACACACCAGGGAAACTAACGACAGGGAGGAGGACCAGACAAAACACAAGGAGGAAGACAAAACACCGAATGAACAGACTTACAATACCCATAACCAGACAGACAACACTAAAACCGTGACATAAACTTGGGAGTGTGACAATTTCTCCTAGTAAGTCTACTCATTTCTCCTAGCTAGTCTACTTTCTAGCAACAAGGTACTAGCATTTAACACGTACAATCAAGCAGTTATTTCATTTTATCTTGTTGCACTGTCATCGCTACTACTTCTGCTTTTACCACTCTTATTTATTTATTTATTTACTTGTGTCTATTTTTTACAGCAGTGAGAGTTGCCAAATAAATGTCATTGTACTTTGTATGTTAACAATAAAGATATATTCTATTATATTCTACAGCACACAGTAACATTTTGAGAGACGGGCCCTTGGACACACACAAGTAAAAAACCTTCCTAAATGTCCTGAGCAATAAACCTACTCTGAAAATACTTTTTAACGTTTCTATTTAGTCATTTTGTATCTTGGTGGTTATTTGTATACGTGTTTTGTGTCTCTTTTAGATCTTTTATGGTTGCTGGCAGTAATGTTTCTTTATGTTCATTTTACATCTCTATGAGGGAACTGTGCTAAACAAATTTAAAGAGACAAA